AGAGCTTATTTGCGGAATGGCTCATAAAAGATACACATAGAAAGTCTGACCTCAAGATAAGTAAAGGAGCAGTGGAAAAGAGCTGAGGACCTTAGATTGTATTATACCAGTGGCCCTTGGCCATCAGAAGCATACATAGAGCCCATCTGACAGAGGAAAAACTAACTGGAAATAGAGCTCTGCATTCTAGGGTATTTGCGGCCGCCTTCAGTCTAAGTAGCCATAAAGTGCAGCACTTCCTGTTTATACCAAGAGAACTTTCAATGGTTCTTTTGTGTGTGTGTGTGTGTGTGTGTGTGTGTGTGTGTTTGTGTGTGTGTGTGTGTGTGTGTGTGTGTGTGTCTGCCATAAACACAAGAACAGCACTAGGATATATACCCTGTCTGGTCTCCTCTAGCCTCTCATTGCTTGCCTGGGGATTAAAACTTTTGTAAACTGGTTATATTGAAATACACAGCAGTGCTTATTCACATATAACATTGTGGATCATAATATCTTCTCTGAAAGGAGAAGTTAATAATTAAAAGCTATTTGCCACACTTTTGCTTGAAGGACTGATTCTTTGAATCTGAGACTATAAGTTATTAGTTGCAGAACTTAATTTTGTTTGTTATTTTATTTCCCTTAGATTTATTTGCTTCTTACTTTGGCTTTAAAGAACCATTTGCTTTCTTAGTGGGACATGCTATTGTATTTTCTCTGTCAGAATTACTTTTTCCAAGTAATATACTACCCATAGTTCCAGATTGTTTTATCTGTTCTCTCAGAAGATCAAGTTGCAGAAAAAGCAGTATACATATGAACTTGACCAAAACAGACTTTATGAAGTGTTGATTGCTAGATCATTTAGAATTGTGTTTGGTTGTACAGAATATAAAACTCCATTGCAGTGATTTAAAAAATTGAACTTCATATTTTTATGTAACAAAAATTACACAGGTAGGGAGTTGGTGTGGATTCTGCTGCTCAGTGATGCTATGAGGATTTTCTGTTCTTCCTGTTGTTTGGCTCCCAGTTGTCAGCAGGCCAGCATGTTGGTCCTGTTAACAAGATGGCTATGGTATTTCCAGGCTTTGCATTCTTGCTCCAGGCAAGACAAAATGGAAAAAGTTAAGGGCTACCCTGCTGTTTCTGCTCTACTTTATTAAGAAAATAAAAAGTTTCCATCCATTAGCATAGTTCCTCTTAAATCTCACTGACCAAAATTGTGTCCCATGGTTCTCCTAGCCAGGAGAGAGCCAAAAGGAAGCTTGTCACATTGGGCTGGGCTGGGCACACACCGCCCTCATCAAAGTCAGAAAAAACAGAGGTTCGTATGTATATGGAGTTAGGCAGCAAATTATCTCTCTCAAAATACTGTGCCTAAAGTTTATTTTACCTATTACTTTAATGCAGATGGTATTTAATTAATCAGAAGATGGTTACAGCAACAACAAAAAAAAAAAAAGAGGAGGAAAGGAAGAAAACATTCTCAGTCTGTCAATTTCTCATTCCTTACATTATAAAAAACTAGATAATAGAATTTCTTATGACTGCTCCTTTGTGTAATATTATAGGTTCTTGGGTGTAAATAAATAACCACAATCATACCTTGAAATAGTTAATAAAATAAATATATGTATGCATTTGAAAAAAAATATTAAGTGTTCCCACTGGAATACTGTTTTTAATACATTTGAATGAATTTCTTTTGGGAGAGATGATTTTCACATTGTATAAATATACAAAAGTGTTTTGCAGATGGCAAGGTCTTATAAATGGAGAACTGGAAAAGCTCTACCAGAAAACTGTTAAAACTAATAAACAGATTCAGGAAAGTTGTAGGATAGAAAATCAGCATGCAGGAGTCCGTTATGTTTCTATATACTAACAATAAACTCTTCAAAAGAGAAATTAAGAAAACAATTCCATTGTAATAGCATCCAAAAGAGTAAAATATTTAGGAATAAATTCAACCAAGGAGGTTAAAGACTTGTACAAAGAAAACTATAAAGCTGTGCTGGAAGCAGTTGAAGACACACATCAACAGATATCCTGTGTAAATGGATTAGAAGAATTAATCTTAAAATATTCATGCTAACCAAAGTGATCTACAGATTCAGTGCATTCTCTATAAAAATTCCAGTAGCATTTTTGATAGCCTTAAATCAGTGTGTAACCACAACACCCCAAACAGCTAAAGCTGTCTTCAGCATGAAGAACAAAGCTGGAGCCATCATACTTCCTATCTTCAAACTGTTCTACAAAGCTATAGTCATCAAAACAGTATGGTACTGGCATTAAAAAAATAGATACATTGACCAGTAGAGCTGGATAGAGAGCCCATAAATAAAACCACACACATATAGTCAACTTATTTTTGAAAAGGGTGCCAAAAATGTATAGCCGTTTTGTTGGAAATGGATATCCACGTACAAAAGAAAGAAATTGGACCCTGATATTGCACAATACATACAAATCAACCCAAAATGGATTAAACATTTAAACATAAGGCCTGAATCTGTAAAACTCCAAGAGGAAAACAGGGGAAAACCTCCTTGGCATTGCTCTTCAAAATGGTTTCTTGGATTTAACACCAAGAAACAAATGCAAAAATAAACTAGCAGGATTGTATCAAATTAAAAAGTTTCTGTACAGTAAAGGAAACAACAAAATGAAAAAGTGATGTACAGAATGTAAGAAAAATATTTTCAATCCATATAGTTATCTGTTAAGGGGAAAATGGGGAGATATTGATCAAAAGGGACAAAGTTTTAGATATAGAGTGAATAGTTCCAGGGACTTAATGTGCAGCATGGTGACCATTGTGAGTAGTACTGTATTGTATACTTGAAAATGCCTAAAGAATAGATCTCGGATTCTCTACACACACAAAAAAGATAACCGTGTGAAGTGATGAATGTTGAAATTAGCTTGATTGTGTACTCATCTCACAGTGTATGCCTATATCACACCATCATGTTGTACACCTTAAGGTGTTGTATCTTCAGTATTTATTTCACAGTCACACCTCAGTAAGGCTTAAAAAACTAACAAAAAAATGGAGTGACAATTTCTTTTGGAGGATATGATTTTCCTATCGTATAAATAATGTAGTTATTGTTACAGGCAGGTTTATGGTAGCCAAATTTTAAAACAAAAAAATTTTAAGTTTATTTGAGAGACAGAATGTGTGTGTGTGTGCGCGCGCATGTGTGTGCGTGCGTGCGCCCATGCAAGCAGGGGAGGGGCAGAGAGAGAGCGGGAGAAAGAGTCTTAAGTGGCTCCACACTGAGCACAGAGCCTGATGTGGGTGGGGCTTGACCTCAGGAACTGTGAGATCATGACCTGAACTGAATTCAAGAGTCAGATGCTTAATGGACCGAGCCACCCAGGTGCCCCAACTGTGTTTTTTAAGTATCACAATCTTAAGATAGATTCTTCTATCAAAATCTAATGAAAAAATTTTGACTTCTGGTGTGAGAAAGACTTTTAGTATGTTGGGAGTGAGCTTGAGAAAAATATGTTTTTTAATTAGAACTTTAAACTTCAATTCAAAGTGCCTGAGATTTTCCCACCATTGGTTTTTCTTACACTGAATAATTTTAACTTTCTTTTACTGATAAAAGGAAGTGATGTAAATCGTTAAGTTTGTGGCATTTGGTATGGTATATGGTCACTGTGTTTTGGAATTTAACAAACATAATACATTTTAATAGTACACATAGGCACTGGAGTAGATTTGTGGAAAAAGAAGACCCAATTCTCCCTTTTGAGGTGGTTAAAATTTAGTTGGTGGGAAAAAATGTATATACCTTAGATCAGCATAAAATTAGAGTACAAAAGTAGAGTGTGATTACATAAAGTAATGGAAGAAGAAGATATTTAAGATAGGCTTGTTTAAAGTATAGAATTTGATATAGTGGGAAGGTATAAGGTGCAGACAAGCTCATCTTTTTTCTTTAGCTTCTGTTCTGCTTATCCAGCCCTGTTGAACTCTTTGTAGTTTCTCACTGTGTTCTGTGTTCTTTGATTATTCTGCACCTTTGCAGTGCTTTTTGTTTTTGTATGTTTTTGGAATTCCCTTACTTGTTTATCAGCTTGGCAATTTCCTATCTGTCAATAACATCTCTCTGACATCTCCCCTGATCTTCCTGAGTAAAGTTAGGTTCCTCCTTTTCCTTTCTCCCATAGTGCACTTTCCCTGTTTCTGTCTCTGTCTCTCTCTGTTTTTGTAATGTGTTAACCTTGAAGGTAAAACTATGTTTTATTTCCAGCAAAATGGGTTTATTCAGGAATAACAGAATTGCAGTTTGAGACATGCAGGTTATGGCAAAACCTTAGGCAAGTCCAGAGAACAAAGGAGAGGAATGCTCTTTTATATGGAAAAGGGGCTTTAGGAGGGGCTTTTATAAACACAGAGTCTACTGGAGTAAACTGGGTATTTGAAGTGTAGTGGCTTTAATTGGCCTAGTTGTGACAGTCACCCATTGACTGGGCTGTTACCAGGCAAGAAGACAATCTTCCTCCTACTGGGATAGTCAAGTATAGGCTTCTTCCTATTGGGAAGGCGGGGGACTGCATATTCAGTTTCACAGTGGCCAGTGTCATTATCACAGGTCACCATTTATTTATTTGTCTGTCTTTGCCACAGCTTGTGAGCTTCATGAACATAAGGATTATATCATATTTATCTCCAAATCATAGTGCCTGGTGTATGGTTTCACACATTGGATCATTCAGTGAGTGTTCACTGGATAAATGAAAAGAAATAATTACCCCAGAGTTTATTCAGGAGTAGCAGGGAGGTCTGTCTGGAGGTGGTGTGGTAAGAATACTTAACCCTACAGGTTTAGAGAGTTTGTAATTTATCAGTATTTGGAGATAAGATTGAATAGGCAATGTAGGACTGATTGTCACTGGAAGTTTTAATATATAATGGAGTAATAATTAGTAAAATTTCTAAAATTGTTTTTTAAAGCCCCCAGTTTTCAAACCTACTTTGCTTTTGTATTTTGTAGTGCTTCCACTTCTCATTCAGAGAATTCAGTGCATACGAAATCAGCTTCTGTTGTATCATCGGATTCCATTTCAACTTCTGCAGAAAACTTTTCTCCTGATTTAAGGGTATGTGTTCTGTTTTTATGTTTTGATGTATCTTTTGGTAGCTGTTTGTGGCCAACACCATGAGTATAACCTTGCACCCAGTATGCAGGAGACCTTGATGGAGCAGCCTTCCTAGACATCAGTCTTTCTAAAATATCCCAGAACAGACCAGCAGATTTGGAAGTCTTCTTTATTTGCAAATCAAAAATGTGTAATTTATTTCTAAATTTGATATCTTTTCAGTTCTTTGGCAAAAGATAATTAATGGAAGACTTTCATGATTACTCCAGTACTGATGGCCAGTAATAACTAACGTTTATTGAGTACTTACTATATGCCAAGTATCCTTCCAAGTAATGAAATGTCTCTTGCTATACTTCTACCAATTCTGTGAGGTAGAGACTCTTTTCATTATCATTCTGCAGGTAATAATAGCTCATAGAGATAAATAACATGTCCAAAGTCTCATTGCTAATAAAATTTGTGGCTAATATTCTAGCTCCTGTAGTCCAGTTCTGGAGCTAAGTCACTTAAATATTGTGCTGTAGTTGCTACACATCTCATTATAGTTTAAATATTCTTCTGTTTCTTCAAGGTCTTGTTGCTATGAAATTAATCACATCAGTGATATCCTGTAGCACTTTGTACATGTTTTGATTCATCTGCTTTTCTACAACTGCCTGTCTATGAATGATGGAGCAAATGAATTTCCTGTGCAGTGCTGACCCTTAATTCTTAGAATCTTTTTATTCTGATCAAGTGGCTGCTTTCCCAGTTCCCAATTTTAATGAGGACCTTATTTACATTAATGAAGGTCATTTGTTGGTGAGCATAACTGAGACTGTATCTCTTTCTTGTATTTCACTTTCAAAACAGAATCCAACAAATGTAAGAATGCAGATTATAAACATCTGTAAAGACTACTGCTTGTCCTTATCTATCTTTTGTGAAATGTCATAAAATAATTGTTTGCGTATGACATAACTTCAAACATCACTAAAAATAATAGAGATTTTTATCTTTATAATATGGATATTTGTTGTGCTAATTATGAAGGCTTCATAGTATCTTTAGCTATCATCTTGACACATAACATACATTTAGGGCAGGGTTCATCATTAATAATACTGGATATAAATCCATCGTTTCCTCTCAACTTTTTTACTATTTAAAAATATATGTTTTATATATGTACCTAACTTTTGTTTATTCATTATGTTAATGTAAATCCACTGTGGGCCTATAGGCTTCTTGATAATTTTGAATATTTTGGGCTTACTTCTAGGTAGGTTGTGTTAGTTAAAAACACTGTTTTTAACTTCCTGTTGTGACTGATAAAGAACTCATATTAGAAATGCGAGAAATGTTACTTTTGCTTGTTGCTATACTTACATTATTAATATCATATTCTACCTGCTGTTTCTTGCCTGAAATAAAATATATATAAATGGTTCAAAATAAACCATCTGCATGTTCTTGTGAGGGCTTAAACTACTTGAGTGGGTACATACAGGAATTGCAGTGCATCGCAGGATGCTGGGGATGGTCTCTGCTGTCTGCTTCTCTGCAGGCAGGTCCCCTTCATATCCTCGGACACCAGATGTATTATAAATAAGAGTGACTGACTTACATTGGGACAGAATGAGGGACATAATGTTAATCTGTATGTTAAACATAATTTATTTCTTATGTTTGTTAGATACTTTTTAAAATTTAGAACAGTTTAAGATTTACAGAAAAATTGCCGAGTGTTTTTTAATTTTGTTCTGAGCTCTGTTTTACTTTACTAAGGAAGCACCATAGGGTACTCCAGGCTAATCTTGATATTTCCTAAAATCATCATCCATTTCTCAAGGAGCCCAGGTTTCTTTTGTTGGAGAATGGTATTGGAAACCAACATCTGGGCACTAGGTGTGCTTACTTTCTTATTTTAGTTTTCACCAAAAAGGAACAAAGCACTTTTTTTTTTCCTGAAGCAAAAGATCATTTGCATGCATTTTATTTGGAGGTAATATTCTGGGTAGGGTGATCCTGTTTTCTCTACAGATTTAACATTAGACACAAAAATGTCCTGACTTATTGACTTTCTCAGTACTATAGGGTACCAAGGGTATCTTTTGAATTTGTACATCACCTTCATGACAGTCAGAATTATCCCCATTAGTACCTTATGAATTTAGCATCTTTCACAGAGGGTCCCTCAGAATTTTTACGAGATGAACGAAGAGACAGTTGTTAAATGTTAAATTAAGAAGAAGATAGTTTTCGGCAACCAAGGTTAACTACTTTCTGTAATAGTGTATAGACTGCCTGTTACCCTGTTCCCTGAGTTTTGTTGTTGTAATGTTTTTATTTATTTTCGAGAGAGTGCAGGAGAGAGGCAGATGGGGACAGAGGATCTGAAGCTGGCTCGCACTGACAGCAGGAAGCCTGATGTGGGGCTTGCACTCACAAACCATGAGATCATGACTGGAGCCAAAGTTGGATGCTCAACTGACCGAGCCATGCAGGTGTCCCCATGATTCCTCAGTTTTAAGGATATTTTTAGTTGTCAGTCTTTTTTTCAGGTGTGGGAGGGAGAAGAATGATTAGCATTACATCAGATGTTGTAGCCTTTAGAAGATGCATCCTAATTTCAGATGTGTGCTCTTTTCAGAGGTGGGGTGGGGAAAGGGAAGTGCTTCTTTTTTTTTTTTTTTTAATGTTTTATTTATTTCTGAGAGAGAGAGAGAGAGAGAGAGAGAGAGATAGCATGAGCAGGGGAGGGTCAGAGAGAGAAGGAGATACAGAATCTGAAACAGGCTCCAGGCTCTGAGCTAGCTGTCAGCACAGAGTCCGATGCGGGGTTTGAACCCACGAACTGTGAGATCATGACCTGAGCCGAAGTCGGATGACTAACCGACTGAGCCACCCAGGCGTCCCAAGGAGGTGCTTCTAATACTTGAAACAAATCCAGCTTGCTATTGATCCATTTATACATGATTCTTCTCATTTAGCTTTCACAACAATCCTGTGAGATGGATATTATTACTCCATTTGACCAGTGAGAAACCTGCTAATTCAGAAGAGATAAATTAAGTCCTGTGCTTAAAGCCACACAGCTCAGTCTTGCCCTTATGTGGTCTCGGGTTGGTCATATTCCTGTACAACACATTATCCAGAGAGACTATCCTTCCAAGACTCGGCTGCTCCTTTCAAATGTGCAGTGAGATTTTCTTAAGTAACAAGGACTATCTTTAATACATTCTTTGAGGTAGTAATAACAGCTTTCAATATTACTTCCTTAATACATGAAAATTCCCTTTTTAAATAATCAGAATAAGGCTTTTTGTATTAAAAATCTGATCTCCTCTCTCCCCAATTTTGTTAGTGGATGGATATTTTACTTTTAGTATGTATACCTTTACTGGCCATAAAATAGAAGTGTGCTAGTTAATTCTAGGTGGACCCTACCTGGAGACAGCTGCGTGTTGTTCTCTGCCTGATCATGGTTTGGCTCTATGTGTGAGGTGAAGGGCTTGGTGCGGTAGTTGTGGATATGATCATCACAGTTGATTTGAAGTTGATTAACCTCTAGGCTCTGAGTTCTCCACAGAGTCTCAGTCCTTTATCCCTGCCCTGAGCCTTAATCTTTTTAAAGCTCCTTTGTAACAGCTTTTAAGTAAGTATAAGAAACACCTTGCATCGAAAAGCTAATCCAATTTCGTTAAAGATCTTAAATCACATTACATAAGTTTTCTGCTACAGGTATTATGCAGTGACACTAGTGTTAGTTGGTCAAGAGGTGAATATAAGAGCTTCTGTTAAAGATTTCTTACTGAAACAAGATTTGTTGCTTCTGTGCCAGTAAAGGAGAGGGGGAAATTAGAGGAGCAATGGATCTCTGCTAGGTATCTCAAACTTGTATTTATCCATGTGCATTTCTCTTTGCATTTTTCATCTTTTTAGCCCTGCTTGTTGTGGAAAAAGTCAGATACAGATAAAATCCAGTACATGTCTTTCTGAAAAATAGAGCACAAATTCAGCCTTTGTAAATGGAATCATGTGTCCTCATGAATAATTGTAGAGTGTTTTTCTTCATTTGTTCTTCGCTTTGCAGTGAAAGTTATTTAATTAAAAAAACTAAAAGTATTTTTTCATACATTTTTTCCTGCCCCCCCTTTTCTCTCTGTCCCGTTTTCATACAAAAATTGTAAAGAAAATAATTTTTTTAAAAAAATAAATAAATCTGCAGTTTTAAAAATTAGGCTTTCTTTAATAAGAGCACATTTTTAAAGTTTGACGCATAGTGGAATTAATCTAGGAAGCTGGTGTCTGGTTTATTTGCTGACTAAAATAATTCTCATGAAATGCAGGATTTTAAAATTCAGATCCACAGCTCTCTTTATAAAGTGCAATTTGTATAACATTGGGTTTTAGTTAAAATAATTGAAAGTCGGGCCATACAGCATTTTTTTCCTTGTGATGGCTGTGATAGTGCACTTCCACCAATGTTTATCTGTAATTCAAAATCAGATATTAAAATGGATTGCATTTTATGTCTGCTATCTCTTTTAGAAGACCTGTTTGATCTTAGAATGTATGTCATATGTTCTATGTTATAAATATATATTTCAATGAAAAGATCATGGTCAGTATGTTAATAATAGACTCATCAGGTGATTCCAGTCCATTATCTTTTTTTCCTAATAGGAGATATTTGGATAGTAATCAGAGATAATGTTGAAAAAAACTTTGAAGAAATTATGTGAGTAAAATTTGGAAGAGAGACAGGACAGAAGACAGTCACTAATACACCTCTGTCATCAAAGAACAACCAAAATCCATCTGAAAATGTAGATAGTTGTCTCATATTAATCTTTAATAGGAAAATGATTTCAGTCTAAACTCTCACGATTTCCATTTTACTGCAACTTTTCTCTCCAAAGTTACCATTAACTCTCTTTTGTAAGATTTTGTATCTTTTATAACAACACTAGTTTTTTTTATTATGAAAGTAATATAATGAAATAAAAATTTGT